TGTCATTGTACCAGTACCATACTGTTTTGGTTACTACCATTGTGTGGTAGGTTTTGAGGTCAGGGAGTGCTGTACCTCCCACTTCATTTTTGTTTCTCAGAAGTATTTTGCTTATTTGGGGTCTCTTAAGAGGCACTATTCTTGACTGGCATTAATCTAGAGTTTGAGTCCCTGCCCTGACCAGAGGGTAATTCAAAAAATGACCGAAGGTCACTTCATTTTTCTTGTAAAAAACAATCTCTCTTTTCTGGATTTGTGAACCTTAAATGGGATCAAGAAAGAACCCAGCATTTTCTTAATTGTGTTTTCCCACAAAAGTAAATTCCCTTCTACAAAGCTCTATCGTGGGTAATTTGTGCCGCCAACCTCAAAGAAACAGAGTTTGGATCCACCAGCTTTTCCTCAGAAGAAAGATGAGCAATGTCTTCCCTGTGTGATTTAGTTTTTGAAAACTCACTGGAGGGTCAGATTTCAACTTGATATTAAAAACTAACTAAAAAGTCAGTGGTTTGAACCCACCAGCCCCTTTGCAGGAAAAAAGATGAGGCAATCTGTTTCCATAAAGATTTATAGCCTTGGAACTCTATGAATAGTTCTGCTATTACAGGATTACTGAATCCAGATAAAATTTACAGCAATGAGTGATGGGACAGTCTGTTCACTTTCGTATCCCTTAAATCTAAAATCTAGTCATACCTCTCCTTCTTCTAAAGAATATTTTAAATTGAGAAATATATAAATAAAGCGTCAACAGTATTAGCTGCTACAGAAAACAAAGGGCTAAAAATTGTCCGCAAGATTTAGCAACACAACAGACTTTGATTCTTGCTAAGAAGAGAAATGAAAGCTAAAGTTGCACTAGTTTTGTCAATGAATGGGAGGCTGTGAAATTGAAACAGGAGTTATATAGCTCACTCCATAATAGTTTAAAGATAAAGGATGATATTTGAGGAGGAAAGTGGCAAGAGTTTTTGCTGCTCTTATCAGGTTCTCTACACCACCAGAGTTCACAATGGGCTCTAATATGGCAGAGATGAGGAGGATGGCACAGGATAAGGCAAGGTTCAGATTTAATGTTTCTAGGGTCCCTCTGAGTCATAAGTTGAATCAACAGCACCGAACATTAAATTTATCTATATGTCTGTATATTTCTTATAAGCCCTTTAAAATTTTAATACACTGCTCTTTCTTGTGTCTGAAACTCCAAAATATCTCTGTCTTGACTTGTTCTCCAAACTTTACCACCAAATTCCCAATCACAATGATGGATAACTCCATGATTAAAGCTTTCTAAAATTAAGCCAAAAGGGGATTGTTGTTATATTCTGTCAAGTAGAACTGATAGCAACCCTATGGATATTCTATCCTGTGCCATCCTCACAATTTCTAACATAACCAGAGCCCACTGCAGCAGTCACTGTGTCAATCCACCTGGCTGAGGGTGTTTCTCTCTCACTGATCCCTCACCTTTCCAAGTATAATGCCCCTCTCCAACGAATAGCCTCTTCTGACAACATGCAAAAAGTATGTGAGAAGAAGCTTTATTATCTTTGCCTCCAAGAAGCACTCTGGTTGCACTTTTCTAAGACATACTTGATTTTTCTTTTGGCAGGCCATGGGATATTCAGTATACTACCACCACAGGTCAAAGACATCAATTTTTCCTTTGTCAACCTAATTCATTCTCCAGTTCTCAGACCTAATTCATTCTCCAGCTCTCAGACACATACCACGTGATTGGAAAGACTATGGCCTAAAATCAGATATATCTTAATCCTAAAACTGACATCATTGCTCCTCAATAATTGGAGAGGTCCCTGACTGCATACTTTTCCAGTGCAGTACATCTCCTGATTTCCTGACTGCTGGCACCAAGGGTGGTTTTTTTTTGAGATGCAATCCATATTGACGTCTGTATTCTTTGATTTTCTGCAGTAAGTGCTTCAAGTCCTCCTCACTTTCAGCAAGCAAGGTTGTGTCATCTGTATAATGCAGGTTATTGGTGAGTCTTGTTTGATCTCAATGTCCCATTCTTCTTTATAGAGTCCAGCTTCTCAAATAACTTTCTCAGTATACAGACTGAATAGGTATGGAGTGAGGTTATGATCCTGACACACTCCTTTCTTAATTTTAACCAAGTACTGTTCTCTTGCTCTGTTTATACAACAGCCTTTTTGGTCTAAGTATAGACTTTACATGAGTACAATTACGTGTTCTGGGATTCTCATTCTTCTCAATGTTAATAAGGGGATTAAGAAATGAAAAACCTAGCTCAAATACAATGCAAATACAACCCCAAATCACAGATTTTGTAAAGATGTCACCAGAAAAATTTTGAAAGAACTTTGATTCGTAACTCCTCACATGTCCAAAACTTCAGACGTTCTCACTGCCTAACAAAGGAGTTTGAGTTAACAAAATGGTTAAAGCACTTTGCTGCTAACCATAAAGCCAGCATTCACACCCACCACCTGCTTTTCAGAAGTGTACCTAAGCAATCTATTTCAGTAAAAATTTACAGCCTTGGAAGTCTGATAGTTACTATCTATGAGTCTCTTTATACTTCTTAATGTAACTTTTTATATGTATTATCTCCTCTATTACAGTATTAATGTGAGCAGGATTTGTGAAGAGGTGTTTATTGTTTTACTATCATAATTGACATTTCCTTTTTGGTATTCCTTTTTCTCATGTAATACTACTAGTTTTCTTCTGAAATATTTTAATAGGATTATTAATATAAATAAAAATCTATCAAGATGTAAAAAGTTTGTGAGAATGTAAAAATCATTTACCGATATAAATTTCCCTGAAGGGTATTCTGGTTGGGGGGAAAATCTTTTAGAAACTATGCTGCTGTTGTTGTACGAACTGCCTCATCATCAAGCCTACATGGGAGGAGTTGCTTATTCTTTACCGTGGAGCAGCTGGTGGATTCGAACCATGTGCCTTTGGGATTATAGTGCAGCTTCTTACCCCTAGGGTTAAAAAAATAAAGTTGATTCCCAAGATTCTCTACTGAAATAAAACAACTAAATATAATCTTGTTTTTTCAAAGCTATCGTTATATAAACTGTCTTTCAGGAGGAGAGCAACAATGTCTGGAGACTAAGGTGGTGATGGTCTTTGCAATTACTTGCTATGCATCATAGAGCTGGACAGTAACTAAGGATGATAGAAGGATGGATGCCTTTGAGTTGTGGTGCTGGTGAAGAGCGATGAACATACTGTATACCGCTAGAACAAACAGGTCTGTCCCGGAGAGGGTAAAACAGCTGCTCCTTGGAGGCAAGGAATTTGACAATACCCAATCACATATCCCTTTTAAACAGTTTTCTCCCTCATCTATTTCAATGCAGTATACATTATTTATCCCATCTTTCTCAGTCTCCCCGCAACCACAATGTCAGTCCTGTTTTAAAACAGTGGCACTATGTAGTATTTGTCCCTTTGTGACTGAGATATTTCACTCAGCCTAATGTAGAGGCAAAGATTTTGAAGCTCCATCTCATATACTTTGGGAACGTGGCCAGCGGGGGGCCTATCCTTGGAGAGGGACATCATGCTTGGAAGGGTGGAGGGACAGGGCAGGAGAGGAAGACGCAGTATAAGATGGATTGACTTAGTGACTGGAGAAATGGCATTAGGTCTGTCGGAGACAATGAAATTGGCTCAGCATAGGGCAGGGTTCAGAGCTAATGAGTCGTAGGAGACTCAATGGCACATAACACCATCCCCAGCTACAAGTGTGAGGCTGGCTGGAAGGGTTCAAATCTGTTTATCCAAGAAATCTGTATTAGTGTCTCAAATGAGGTAAGTCTTATTATATGTGGAAAAGTACTTTGTAAAATCGTAGGGTAGTTTAATTCTGGCTTTCCCAGTTCAAGCTGGGATTTAGAATTCCTTGGGATTTCTCTGCTTTAGCACTATACCCATATCCTAATGTGACCCGTTCCACTGTGGATAAGAGCAGGAACCATTTCATTTTGTCTAACAAATTACTGCATTAATTAACCAAAACCTGGAGTACCGTTTAGATTTCGACTTGGATGAAAGCTCTAAAGAACAAAGGACATTCCCTAAGAATCTTTAAAATTCGCATGAAAAGAGCGAAGGCTTCTATCTCCTGTTAGACTGCTTTCCGAAACGTGGAGAGGCAGAATTAACAATCACCACCACCGCCTGTCGCACACAGAATCCTTTCATATTCTGATTTGTGTCCTTCGGGCCCCTAGCTTTATCCACCCCCGCCACACAATCTGGGCTGGCAGCTCAAATTAAGTCCTGAGATGTCAGATCTCTGCGCAGCGTCGCTTCAAAAGGTTTCCGCAGAGAAGACTGTCAGATTCCTGACTTTCACCTAACCGGCTATCAGGTGGCGGAGACGGAAGTCGCGGGGAGGTCATAGAGGGCCTACTTCCGGTTTTCCGGGCTAGAGCGCCTCTCCGCCAGCCGTCCCGGAGGCCCCAGAGGCTTTTACTTCCGGGTACTTCTGTCATGAAGAGGAGACTTCTCTAGAAAGGTGGCGTCGTGGATTCTTTGCGCTTTTCCTCTTTCAGCCAACAAGGACGGGTCCAGGCGGCCGTACTTTACAGCCAATAACTGCACCCTGTTCTCGTGTATCAGGCTTGCATTGCACCTGTGATTCCTCAGAATTGGCTTTTGAACCCTCACGATTGAGGAGAGTACGTGATTGGCAGCCTCCAGGACAGCAACTCAAGAGGCACCGTACCTTCGCCCAAACCTGTTCCCCCATTACGCTCTGCCCTGTGAGGTGCAGCATTTGACAAGTCCCCTCTCCCTCCTTCCCCAAGATTACTTTCACCCACGTCCGAGTTAACCTCGTTCCCAACCTCAGTTTGAGAGACCCCTCTCCAAGCCTCCAAGTCTTCACTCTCTGTTCAGTCGCTTACCCTTAGCTGGTTAAACTGAGTTCGGAGCTTCGGATACCTAGCAGGAAACATTACTGTCAAGACTGAACATCCATTTGATCAAAGGTTCATGCTTACCCCCGAGTCTGTGGGAAAAGCAAAGCCCAGAAAACACGGGAAGCAATGGCTGAGCACGGAGCTCACATTACAGTTGCTTCTGTGGTCGATGACCAGCCATCCATCTTTGAGGTGGTGGCACAGGACAGTCTAATGACAGCAGTGAGACCTGCCCTTCAACATTTGGTCAAGGTAAGGTATTCATTCTCTGAAAGGTTTTAGAGACGACTGAGTAATAACCAAATTAATAGTTTTAGTGGTGGCCTTAGGGTTTTAAATAACCATGATTTAATCATGCCCCATGATTTAATTGGTATTCTCTGTTCTGTACAGAGAAGATCAGGCAGTTCAAGTAGGTGTTAGGCAGACCTTCAAATAAGTGATTTATTTAAGCTGAAAGTAAACAAAATTATAAATACAAAGTATGGCAGCTATGTAAGAGTATGCTTTTTTTTTTTTTTTTAGGTTCTTGCCGAATCACATCCTGCCCACTATGGCTTCTTTTGGAGGTGGTTTGATGAAATCTTTACTTTCTTGGATCTTCTCCTTCAGCAGCATTACTTGTCTAAAACTAGTGCGTCATTTTCTGAAAATTTTTATGGTTTAAAACGGATCGTTATGGGGGATACACACAAGCTTCAGAGATTGGCCAGTGCTGGTCTCCCAAAGCAGCAGCTTTGGAAATCAATTTTGTTTTTGGTTCTTATTCCCTATCTGAAAGTGAAGCTGGAGAAGCTGGTTTCTAGCCTGAAAGAAGAGGATCAATATTCTATCCATCCCCCTTCTTCCCACTGGAAACGATTTTACCGAGCCTTCCTGGCAGTCTATCCATTTGTTAACATGGCCTGGGAAGGCTGGTTTCTTATACCACAACTCCGATATATCCTAGGAAAGGCTCAGCATCACTCACCATTACTGCGGCTGGCTGGAGTTAGGTTAGGGCGACTGACCCTTCAGGACATACAAGATCTGGAGCACAAGCCAGCTGAAGGCAGCACGAAGCAACTATCAGCCAGGTGAGGCCTTAACATTTCAAAAATACTTTCACAAGTTTTTAAATCATGTCTCAATTTTAGGAAATTCCCCTCGCTCTGTCCACTTTGACATATTTTATGAACTCTTTCCAAAAATATCTTCCTTGTGTTAATAAAACAAGGATTAAAAAAAAAATTAAAAAACCAAACAAGGATTACAGAACTCATTGTAACTTTTTATTGTACACTTGTGGTGTGCAATGCCACTGTTTGCTTTATATACATATTTAGTTCAATCCTCATCACAACCCAATGAAGTAAATGCATTAGCTCCATTTAACTGCTGATGAAACTAAGCCCTAACAGGTACTTTGCCAAGGTCACATGTACAATGTGGTAGAATTGTGGTTCAAACCCTATCAATGACTGTGGTCTTTAAGATGGTAAGTTTCTTGTGTTTGTGTTCTACAAGTTTAAAAAGTTTGCCCCCAGGTCTTTTACAAAAAAATGGTCTAGGCAATCTGTCTACTAACTTCTCAAAAACAAAGTTCTTTTTATTATCAGAAACAAAGCCTAGCTCCTAAAATCCCTTTAGTCAGACAGATGGAGTAATTCAGAATAAACCCTTAAGGTAACAGTACAGGTCTACTAACAATTCAATCCCAAATCAGTGTTTCTGATGAATACTTTCTTATCAATCTGTGACATTTGTGTCTCCTTTTGCCACCTTTTTCCTTTTCTCCCAACAGTGTCAGTGAGAAGATAAAGTCAGTGCTGAAGAAAGCTATGGGAGGTGTTGCCTTATCCCTCTCTACTGGCCTGTCTGTGGGTGTATTCTTCCTGCAGTTCCTTGAATGGTGGTACTCATCTGAAAATCAAGAAACTATCAAATCACTGACTGCATTACCAATTCCACCCCCACCTATACACCTGGACTACAATTCTGATTCTCCATTACTGCCCAAAATGAAGACTGTGTGCCCACTGTGTCGTAAAACCCGGGTGAATGATACTGTTCTTGCCACCTCTGGCTATGTGTTTTGTTATCGATGTGTGTTTAATTATGTAAGAAGTCATCAAGCTTGTCCCATTACAGGTTATCCAACAGAAGTACAACATCTAATTAAACTGTACTCCCCTGAGAACTAAAAATAATCAGCATCCTATCTCACAACTACTGTAATGCAAGATCACAGGGCTGATTTTCAGCATAATACATAACATTACTTCATACTTCTCAGCCTAAATCCATAATTATATGAACCGTAAATAACCATATAGATTTCTTTTTAAAAATAGACACTTTTGAGCCTAAACCTTTAATGTGCTTTCTAGATACGAAAGTTGGGACTGACAGGGGAAGTGAGAGCCAGTATAGAGGAGGTAAATCAGAGAATTAGTATTGAAGTTTTCTCTCATTCCTTAAAAAACAAGAGGTTTTTTTTTTATATTTTTTATATTTGCTCATAGGCAAAATCCCAAATTGGATCTCATTAGTGGGCTGGAAGAAGAAAGCCTTCCCTTTCAGAAGGCATTTACCTGCATTGAAGTGGATGTTCTTGCCAATTTGCCAACTGTGAAAATGGGCCTGTCTTTTCTAAACACCACGTTAGTAAAACAGCTCCTGACATAAACTGTTACCTATAAATCAAAGATTGAGTCTTATCTTTGGTAAACTGGTCTTTACCCAGTAGAAATAGGAATCGGGTATTTAGATTATAGGGTGAAAGCAAAGCTAACAAGCAATGAAGAGATAAAAGTAAATCTCTATGTGGTCTTTCTGCTTACTGTTAAAGAGTTTGCTAGACAGGCATGCGTTATTCTGCCGATTAATAGTTTCTATGAAACACTTAAGAGAATTTTAAGAATGGAATGGCAATTAGTCTAGGTTAGCTGGAAAGACTGAATACTGATTCAGATAGCAATGCCATAATGTTGCGGTGTTTGGTTTGGTTTTTTACTTTACTCTTGAGCTGTGATGTGCTTTATTTCTGCAGAAGGCTGACCCATGTTGGTTATATGGAAACCTAATGATTACTTGAAATGTTTAAAATAAATTTTTCATTCATAACATTTTCAACTTTTTGAGATATTATTGTTTAATGTTTTGCCTTTTTTGCTTATCCATCCACTGGAACCAGGACTTTACTGAAGCCAAGACTACTCAAACAGCAAAAATTAAGTCTTGTATGAAATTCCTTGTACAAGAAATATTTCAGGAACAGTTATAAATCGCTTGTGTAGGAAAATTCATGCCACTGGATTGACCAGTTGGTGAAAATATATGGGACAAAGAAATCATTCCTGATTTTGATGGCCATGGCACATGCTAGGGGGCAAGGTTCAGATCTTTCATTCGTAATGTCACTATGAGTCGCAGTCAACATGATGACACCTAGTAACAAGGAGGGAGGATGAAATTAATATGTAAGTACCTTTTCTGATAGAGGTTTTCTAATACTTTTAACTAATTTTAGCAATTCAAAGCACATTCTCTGATGGCACAAAGATAATAAATTTTGAAATGCATCATATGAGTTTTAAAATATTTAAAACTATTATATCCAGGAATGCCTCGGAGATAACGTAGGTTTGGTTCCAGACCTCTGCAGTAAAGCAAATCCTGCAATTTTTGTTTGCCAGTGCATATAAAAATTATGTTTACAAGCTCTTCTAGTCTAAGTGTTCAACAGTACTATGAAAAAGTTTGAAATACTGTGAAAACTACTAAAATGTGGCACAAAGGCATGAGTTGAATGCAAGTGTTGGGAAATGGTGCCAATAGATTTGGTTAATGCAAAATTACCACAAACCATCAATCTGTCAAAAACATTGTATCTGTGGAGTACAATTAAAGTATTCTTGCATTAACACAAGAGTATAATGGGTATTTTAACATGTCGCAAATGACGGTAATACATAGGGGAAAAAATGTGTTTCTAAGCACCGTCGTCAATTTAAAAGTGTGTGGCAAAGTGTTAAAAAACAAACAAAATAATCCTGTAACTAGCTATTTCAGCTCATGGCTACCCTATGTGAAATATAACAGTGCTCCCCAGAGTTATCCTTGTCTCTCTATTCTTTACAGAAGCAGATCTTCAGGCCTTTCTCTCAAAGACCTGCTGGGTAGGTTTGGAATTAATTAGCAAATTATTATACATTAATATAAAGTCCTTGTGTCATCCAGAGACATTCTAAATGGAACAACTTTTAAAAAACAAAGACTGTAATTAATTAAAGTATTTTTAATATACTAAAAAGATCAATGAAGTCATTAAACCAGATTCAGGATTGAAATGGCGTAATCGTCCATGAAGATTTCAGTCCGGTTTTTCATCTCAACCTAAGAAGGAAAATGTAAAATAGTTAGTAATTAAAAAAAATATATCAAAGCAGTGCTCCTACTTGATAAGATCCGTATCTAAATCGGCTAAACATGAATGTGGAAAAACACGAACTAGAATCAGCTCAGAGAGAAGATTAAGGTATCAAACCCTGGTCAGAGCCAGCACTAAAGCATGGCAATACCAGGTCAGATTAGACTTCACTCATCATCGCATCACTGAATGTTACTTTCTTGTAATAGCTAATAGCAACCCATTGCTCTATTTTCACATCCAAGAAAATGTTAAGATTACCATTGCAGGGAAGGGGTGGAATATTTTTAAGGTAAGTTTTAACCATGAGTTTCAGGAAATGCTATGCTTTAAGCAATTCTGCTACAGAATTCTGGAGCAGAAAAGCAAAAGCTTTTTAAAAAAAGATGTACTATATTCCTTAAAAAAAAAAAAAAGGAAATCCCAGTTCATTTTCTATGTAATTCAACTTACATATTTGCTAACAAATATTGAAAAGTATAGCAATAGTGTTTTTACAGGAATCTTAAGACCTTTAGATCCAAAGTGGCAGTAGTTTGTCAAAGGTCAATAGCAAATTAATGACAGACCTGTGAACAAAACTGAGGTCTGATCTCTAGGTTTCTATTTTCCACTATCAGTTAAATAAAAAATTACATTTCCTTTTTCTTCTAGCTCTGACTCTAGATGTACTAACAAGGGAGGGCATGGGCAAGACAAAGTATGATAAGGACTGGGTCATTCACAACCTGCATTGTCAATTTCTAAGCATTTCATCCATTCTAAATGGCACCTTTTGGTGGCTAGGCATCACCAAGAGGAACAGTACTAGAATCTTCAGATGTTCAGGATGGCACTGTCAGTAGGCAAATAATACTTCTGGAGATATCATCATGCATGCTTCTCTGATACTCCATAGTTAAAAACTGACAGCTGTCAATCTGTGTTCTCCATGCAGCAAATAAGCTCCATTAAAAAAAAAAACAAACCAAAAACTACTGTACAAATTCATACTTTGTATGTGTTGTTGTCAAGTTTCAACTCACAGCAACCCTATGTACAAGAGCCCTAAACCCTGCTCTCTCCTGTGCCAACCTTATTGTCTCTGACACACCTACGCCCTTTGCCCCAGTGACTGAATCAATCCATCTCACTGAGGGTCTTCCTCTCCTCTGCTGTCCCCTCCACCCTCCCAAGCATGAAGTCCCTCTCCAAGGACCAGTCCCTCCTTGTAACATACCCCAAGTATGTCAGACGAAGCTTCGGAATCCTGGCTTCCAAGGAGCAGCCTGGTTTCACCTTCTCCAGGCTGAACCTGTTTGTTTTCCTAGCAGCCCATAGTATATTCAACACTCTTCTCCAGCACCACAGCTCACACATCCCTAGACATTGTCCAACTTTCTGACGCATAGCAAGCAATTACGAAGACCATAGCCTGGATCAGGCGCACCTTAGTCTCCAGAATGACATCGCTCTTCTGTACTCTGGAGAGGTCCTTGACAGCTGACTTTCCCAATGCAGTCTCCTGATTTGCTGGCTGCTGGTACCAAGAGTGTTGATTACAGAGCCAAGCAAACTAAAACTGTTTAACAATCTCAGTCTCTTCACCATCCATAATGATGCTGCCAATTGGCCCAGTGGTGAGAATCTTTGTTTTCTTGATGTTGAGTTCAATCCATATTGAAGACTGTAGCCCTTGACCTTCTGCAGCCAAGTGCTTCATGTCCTCCTCAGTTTCACCAAGCAGGGTTGTGTCATCTGCATAACGCAGGCTGTTGATGAATCTTCCTCCAATCCTGATGCCACATTCCTCCTCACATAGCCCAGCCTCCCAGATGATCTGCATATAGATTGAAAAGGTATGGAGACAGAATACATCCGAGGCGTACAGCCTTCCTGATTTTGAACCACGCAGTGTCTCCTTGCTCTGTTCTGACTACTGCCTCCTGGTTCAAGTAAGTATAAGTTTCACATAAGCACAATCAAATTTTCTGGGATTCCCATTCTTCTCTTGTATGGGTAGGTGGTTGTTTGATGGTATGAGTATGACATAACTCAAAAGCTTTCAATAACTCCGCAGCCCAAGAAATAAAATCCAAAGTTCTTTTTCTAGCATTCAAGATATTTCAAAATGGAGGGGTGGGGGGATTGTAAAGAGAAGAACGAACTAGGGCAGGATGGGTAGAGAAAAAAGTGCAACAATGAAAGAATGAAAATCCAAAATCTCTGTAAATGTTCATTAAAATAAAATTTAAAAAAAAGATATTTAAAAATATTCAAATGTGTATTTAACACTATAGAACCCTATCATGTACCTTACAATCCAACCCGACAGTGCTGACTTAGTGACCTTCATCTAGAAAGTCCTTTTCCCCCTCTTTTGAAATAATTCTGGTATTTCACTCTTACCTCTCTCTGTGACCCTCTAAAATACACATTTTGCAAAGTCCTTTCTCCATCAATGGGGGAGGGAGGAACATCTGTCCTTCCTCTGAATTATAGAAATATTCCTCCTGCATGTACCTATAGTGTGACATTTTGTATTTTAAGATAGAAACATCATAACAGAATTCAAGGTCCTTAAAAACTTAGGACATTATGCTGAGTGAGGTATCTCAGTCACAAAGGGACAAATGCTATATGGTGCCACTGTTGTAGAATGAGGCTGGCATTGGGGTGGGGTTAAGACT